GCACGGACAAGACAGCAATCGAACGCGCGCAGGACCGTCACCGGCGTCGCCAGCACCAGCGGCACCTAGAGCAGCACCGACTCCAGCAGCATAACCAGCGCAACCAGAAGCAGCAGCTACCTCAGCTCAGCCAGAAGCAGAAGTTACGGTGGAGTTTCCGCCGGGCTCGCTAGACGCTACGTTTGAACATCCCCCTGGAGCAGCTGATGAGACGATCGAGTGCCCACCGGAATCATTGGAGGAGACATTGCCATATCCAGCAGAGAATCTTTTATCGGTGGCACCTCCTTCCGGGCATCATTATTGCGTGAGAGTATCCAGGATCGACGAGATGCCTGCCGCGCCTCCGTGCGACGACTTCGACCCGGTCATGCGTGCAGTGGAACACGCAGGCATATTTCAGGATTGGCTTCGCTCTACAGTGCTCGACATCTTGGACAGCGCAGGAATTATTTCTGGTGGTGCCAGGGCCTTGGCAGATAGAGACGCCCTTCTGGCACGATCTCTTGACGGACGAATGCCTCTCAGTAGCGCAAGAGGATGTCGTGACTGAGTGCGACGTTGTTGAGTACCTGGATATTGTTGAGAAGGGAAATCGAGACGAAATCAAGTCATTCGTATCTCATGACGCTTCTACCCTGGACGAGGCCAGCAACAGCACCAACGCGATTGCGGCATGGGTGCGCAAATGGGAGACGCGAAAGCCATCGGCGGTCAAATCTCGCATGCGTGGAAGAGGCTTTATGGATGTTCAACGTAAAGGAGTACATCGACACTCGTCGACGGCATCAGCCTCGTCACACAGATTGGTCATTACCCTTGGAGCTCAGTGCGTCTGGGACGTTGAGGCCTTCGACGTCTCTACGGCATTCCTGCAAGGACTACGCTTTCAGAAGATCGAGGCTAGAGCCAAAGAGCTGGGTCACGAGTGCAAGCGCATCCGGACAGTTTGGCTTCAGCCCTCTGCCAATGGCGACACTTTCGATTGCTGAACTTCACTACAGTTGAAGACGCAGAGCGAGCGTTATTTCCATGATCATTGAAAGCGGCAATGCATGGATTAATGTATGGACCGATTCTATCTCAGATGGCGTTCAAGCGTATCCTTCTCAGCGAGCTTAAGGTCTATAAGTCCTTGCACGACGGGAACTGCCTGTGCATGTTCGACGAAGAGAGAACTTTGCGAGCCTTCATTATTATGTTGCACGTGGACGACCTACTGTTCTTGGGAATGAAGAATATAATTCAATGGGTGCAGCAACAAGTGGGGCGTAAGTTTGGGAAGTTAACCCCACGCCCTACCTTTCACTTTGCGTGGAATCGTGCATGAGAAGATGGGGGCGGGATGCTTCTTCTTACGCCAGAAGCCTTACTTGGAATGCCCCAAAGCCGATGAATTTGGTGGAGAAGACAGTAGATACCCTTAGAGCTATGCGATAAGGGCCACCACTCTTTTAGGTCACTGCTGATGAGTGTGCCATGGCTGACCAAGACGCGTTGCGTCATTCTGCAGGAGATAGTGCAACTGCATACCTACATGATCAACCCGGAAGGGATCCATGTCAAGCAGCTGAATGGAGTATGAAAGCAAGCATTGGCAAATCAAGAGATGAATGGACTACGCTTCAGAAGCATTGGACCACAGCGGCGACTGGTCCAAGTCACAGACAGCGGCCATATGACAAGCAGCAGTTGCTATCCTCAAGCAGCACGTATCATACTGATGGCACGTGATCACCCAGCACTTCGTAATGGATTTCAAGAACACGACCAAGGCAAATAAGGACAAGTCTTTGGGGGCGCGGCATGCCCATTGGTTCTTAGTTGAAGGAAGGCGCGGAGAATGTCATGGTCTACTTCACAACCAGAGACAAATCCAGCCGTTTCATGTGCGGCCATGTCGACGATCATAGCCGCAATGATCACAGAGTTGGAATATCTTCCGTTATTCTGTAAAGCGCCTATTTCACAAGACCTACTTGAAGTGCATATGCGATCTCAGCACCTGATACCAGTCGATTTCTGCACAGATGCGATGAACCTTTTCGAGCTCATATGTTTCTCCAAGTCATTGCAGAATGACAAGCACCACCGAGTGGGCATCCTAGTTCTACGTGAAGATAGGCTGACAAGGAGGATCAGAAACATTATACCTCAGCCTACGACGGTAATGCTTGTCGACCAGCTGACCAAGAAGATGCTATCGCCGATCTACATGCGTTTGCTGACGCCCGGTTAGTGGAACATTGAATTGAAGGAGAGAAGTTTTCGTCTTTGACGTGGAGTACGACGCCCGGCTACGTATACGGAACGAGACCTGCGTGACAATACCTAAGACACAGCTACGAACGACGTTGGCGAATCGTGAGAGCTGAACGACGATATGACTTCTATATTGGAGTCTCCTCGTACCACGAGACGAACATAGACGACATACACTGATGATTGAAACTCGATATGTTATCTTCAGATACCAAATGTCCGTGGACACCGCGCTCCAGCTACATAAGATGGGTTGGAATGGGAGGGTGGAGTGCGGATTCGGAATACTTCTCAACATCGCCATGTTAGAGGGAAGGTTGTTGACATGATGCAAGTTATAGAGATGAGAGGATGTGTGTACTGTAATTCACCTCGGCTCATGGACTAAAAGTCGAGTGGAGGAGGAAGAGGAAGAGGAGGAGGAGGAGGAGGAGGAGGAGGAGGAGGAGGAGGAGGACCCCCTCCCCCTCCAACTTATGGTGGTGGTGGTGGTGGACAACAGGCCCATCATCGTGAGCCAATGGCAGCAACAGTGGCAGGACGACGGCAGAGCGAGGGAGAGAGACAACGCTCACATAACGAAGAGACGGACGCCATGATTTCCTTCGCGCCCTGGGCAGCAGTCAGCGGAAGGCTATCCGCACCCACGCTCTCTCGGAAGCCGGCCGGGCCAGGGCTGCTAACTCCGTGGCTGCTCAGATCGACCGCCGGGAAGTTGTCTTCGTCCTTCCGGGAAGAAGCCCGTTGACTGTTTCGCGTGCCGCGCCTCATCCCGGGCAGCTGTTTCTTCCTCCCGGGAAGGCCGCTTTCGCAGCCACGGTTTTGGCAGCCCTCCCCCAGCGTCTGGTCGGGCATGTCATCCTGCAGGCGGATTTTGGGCGAAAAATCAAATATATTCAAAAATATAGAGAAAATCATCCATATCCCTCCTGTCGAGGAACAGGCCCTGCTGAAGTTTTAGCAGCCACGGTTTTAGCAGCCCTCGCCCAGCTTTCGACTCTCGCGGGCCGGGCCCACAGGCCGCGGCCCTGTGAATGCGGTGCGTCTTGTCGCCCGCGCCCGTCGCGGAGCGCACCCGGGCGACCGTTCATCCACGGGTGCGCCGCGGAGTGCGGACCTCCGAGGCGGGAGTTTGTCCATCACCACCGCCTGGAGGATCCATGTTTGGGGACCTCGGCAGGCGGCGGATATGGATAGATTCGGGCTCGGGCCCGTGGGGGCCAAACTATATCCATATCCACCGCCTGGAGGATCAATGTTTGGGGACCTCGGCAGGCGGTGGATATGGATAGATTCGGGCCCGTGGGGGCCAAACTATGTCCATATCCACCGCCCGCTGGGGCACCAGGACGTCGGTTCCCAGGCGGCGGGTATGGATAGATCCCCGCCTCGCAAGGCCGCGAGGGCGTGGATCTGGACGCGTGCGCCGTGCGTGAGGTGGCACACACATGGGGGGGGCGTCGGCCTCCGGCCACGCAGGCGAGAGACTGGCCCGGGGCTGGGATCGAGAGCCACAGGTCTCGGGGGCGGAAAAGAGGGGGGTGATGACTAGGGGGGGTGGATATCATGGCGCGGGCCATGATATTTCCCCAGATCTCATGGCGCCTCTTCTTGTTTCATTACGTCCTTGGCCCCCCCGCTGGGCCGCGCACATGCCGCCGTTCATGATTTGCACCCCCCCCTCCTGGACACGCCCCTCTTGGCCGCTCCCGAAGGTCCGCGTTTGGTCCAGCAGTGGCGAAGCGTCCTGGCTCGCCTATGGGCCCACCAAAGAATGTTCTAGGAACCTCTTGTGGTCTGCACGACATGTTCTCAGGGCATTTCTGGCTGGGGACGTCTTGTTCTAACACATCGGGCTCATGGTCTAAAAAAATGCGTTTTTGTTCTTAGAACATTTGGGGGTTCTAAGAACATGTCGTGGCAGGCATATAGGAATGCCGGGACGGTCGGACCCTGCTTAATCTGGGGCGGGGGGAGGGCGAGGCGGGGGCGTGGACGTCATGGCCAGGGCCAGGATACCTCCCAGATCTCTTGGCCCCCGCCTTCGTTCCGCAAGCGGCGCGGGGCCCCCCCTTCCTGGCTGCGCGCATGCTTGGGGCCATGAGGCGCTGACTCCGTCTTCGTGGCCCCCCACTTCGGCAGACCCGACTGTCGTGAAGGAAACAGGAGCACAGGAGGCCTGGGTGTACGCTTGGTTCGCGTTGTGTTGACTGGCGGCAACCCCGCCGCTGGCGTTTCAGGTTGGACGCCGAAAGCGACTCATAAGGATCAGGGGCACCGATAGGGGGGGATAGGATATGGGGGGGAATGCATCGACCCCCAATCGCTCACTGATCGCCGATAGGAGGGGCCCGATCCTGCCCAGGAAGGTGCGGATTCACTATTGGGGGCCTATCGCCGATCTATCGGCGATGTGTCGCCGATTCCAGGCCGATGCGTCCCCCCCTATGCCACTCCCCATCTATCGTTGCCCCTCAGAGGAGAAGATGGTCTTGAAAACAGGGCGAGACTTCCAGGGACTCCGTACGGGACACATGCAGATGTCGGAGATTCGGGCTCATCGGCTTCAAGCGCCTTCCGCCCTTTCTCTCTAGATTTCTTGGTGTGGGCCGCAGCACAAACTGTCGCAAGTGCCTTCCCGCCCTCCCCGTACGCGCTAGGCTAGACTTTCCAGCTTTGCATTGTCTCTTGCCACAGCACCTTCGTTTTCTTCGCTGTGATCCGTCCCATCCCCCCAGGCATGACATCACATCGGTTGAGACGAACCTGGAGGAGTCCAAGGCTTCGTTATGAAGGGGTCAGTTGCCAGGAGTAGTCCCAGGAGAGGTCTGGGGAGTAGCGTTATCGTGATCTGCTGGTTCCCCCCAGTCATGCTCATGCAGTTTCCCTGTGACCTTCAGTGAAAGTCAGACGCGCAGCTCCCCAAGGTATGGCCAGTCACGGGGGCGCCGGCCGCAGTCGGTGGCGCTGACAGTGGCGCGCAAGTTGCCCGAGCACGGCCGCACAAACATGCCCTCCTCTCCGCGCGGTCTGCCGTACCGGCGATAATGCGAAAGCCACCTCGTCGGGTCGTTGTTTCCCGTTGAGCGTACAGGCCCGCTCGCTTCTCGCCGCGCGGTCGTGGCTGGTCGAGGGGGCGGCGCGGCGGAGGGGGAATGAGGAGGAGGAGAATGAGCAGGAGGCAGAGGTGGAGGAGGAAGATCGGATCATCTCGGCAGGGGGAATCGTTCAGCTCCGCAGCGTCAAGCGTCAAGCTCGGATGGAGGAGCAGGAGGAGGAGGAGGAGGAGGAGGAGGAGGAGGAGGAGGAGGAGGGGAGAGGAGGGTGGCAAGGGAGGAGAGGAGGAGGAGAGGAAGGAGGAGGAGGGCGAGGAGGAGGAGGAGGCGGAGGAGGAGGAGGAGGAGGAGAGGAGGAGGATAGAGGGGGGGCCAGGCTTGCATGCTTTTCTCTGATTCCTATGTTCGACGGGGTCCTGTGGAGGGGGGAGGGGCACGTGGTAGCCGGAAGCAGAGGAGGAGGAGGGACCTGAGGCGGGCGGATGAGCAGCAGTAGCAGCAGGGCGAGAGGGAGCGGGGGAGGAGGATCCCCCGAGGTCCCCAGGCCACCCCCAGGCTTGGTGGGCGCCGAGCAGTGCCAAAAGACACCCGCGGTCCTTCCTTCGTGATGCCCCGGAGGCCAAGATCACGAGCGACACGGACTCCGCGGTGAACGCCCTCAACGGCCGGATCGACTTCACCAACAAAGACCTCGCGGCCACCCAGGCGCGCGGGCCGCCTCCCGTGGTCGGCGCCCCCGTGCCGCTTCTCGATTCCGACGCAGTCACTGCAGGTGAATTTGGGGATTGTATTCTTGCCGCGTCTCTGCTCCCCGATCCCTCCTGTTTTTCGGTGTCGTTTAACGAATCCCCATCCCCATCATCCCCATCCCCTTCGAGACCCCCACCAAAGTACCACCCAAGTTGGGGATACACCCTTGTGAACCCGAAGGAAACGGCCTATATCCCCATCTAGGGGGTAAATCGACCACTGGGGCCCAGGCGACGCCGCTGGGGATGGGGATCGGTTAAACGATACCCATTCTCGTACAAGATGGCCAAAGAGCGGCGGAGCGGCTTCGAACGCGGCCTCCACCCGCGTACAAAGGCGGAAGCAGGTCGTCCTCGAGAGTGGGACTCTCCCGGACATGGATTTCCGCACTCGAGTGAGCGAGAGCACGCGGCCTTGACGGGCCCCTCTGGGAGCTGGCACCGTCAGCATCATGCGGAGGGGCACCAACTAAAACAGCCTCTTTCCAACGCCTCTCCCAGTCTCCTCCTCCTCCTCCTCCTCCTCCTCCTCCTCCTCCTCCTCGCTTCTTCCTCCTGCCTCCTGATTCCCCCCGCCCGACCCTCCTGATGGGGTTCGGGAGGCTGCCAGACTGCAGTGTGAGGAGTGTCGGCCCCACCGCGTGAGCCGGGAGGAGGAGGAGGAGGAGGAGGAGGAGGAGGAGGAGGAGCAAGAGGATGAGGACGAGGAGGATGAGGACTTCTGAGGACGCCATAAGCTTTCAGGGTACTACACCACCTTCAAGGATGAGACGACCATCAGAGCTCCTAGTTAGGGTGGCTGCAGTTTGCCACAACCCACTGCCCAAAGCAGCCTGCCGTTGCTGAAAATATACGCTGCAAGGATTCCTGAGGTCTCATCCTTAAACTCGCGGGTGTGACGGACATCTGCCTCGATATGGTGTTACGACGATCCGACGCGGCCCGATGTTTGTAGGGAGCATTATGACGCGGCAGATCCGATTCGATTCCAAGTCCGTGCCGACGCAGCCCTATCCGACACATGCTGATCCGATCCGAGTTCAGATTCTGCGCTCATTGAGATGGAAGTTGGCCCTTCCTTCTCCCTCCACGCCCCCCTGTTGCAACCTCCTGCCCGTTGCCCCTGCTGGACACGTGCGCGCCCCGACCAGGGTGCGTGCCTGACGGACATGTCTTTCCCCTCACGCGGGCCAATGCATCCAGCGCTTGCCGCCAGCAGTGCGTACACTAGGGTTAACTCGGGCGTGTCCCTCTACAGGAAGAATACTCAAACGTGGTAACAACATGTTTTGGGACGAGTTCTAGGTATGTTTGAGCATGTTTTGGCTATGTGTTGACTGTTTTGGTCGTCCAAAATCCGCCTGTAGGAGAACACGCCCGACTAACACTAGGGTATCTCACTTCTCTCACCTGGATCAGAGGATGGGTCTGTCGACCATTTGCCGTGTAGCCGCCTCTTGGGCGCCCTTCTGCGCTCGGCTGGTCTGTCGAGGATTCGCCACGTTGTCGCCCGTGAGGCTGCACCACCGAAATTGCACCACATGTTCGAACCGTGCGCCACATATTCTTTAAAGAGAAGAAGCTATGTAGATCGCACGAAACGATAGCACCATACGGACACACCGCATAGATGTCACTCATAGCTGTACCGCGCAGCTTGCATCACATATATTACGCATCCAGAGTGCACGAGCTCGCCCATTGGGGTCCACGTTGGCACACACTTTTATGAGATGGCACCCTTGCAGCAAAACGCCCCTTGGTACATTTGCGGTGGTGGGCACGATGGAGGTTCAGGATGGGGGGTGGCGCGATGGGGGGCTACGATGGGGGTCCAGGATAGGGCAGGGGATACGGCTACAGGGATAGGGATATTGGGTCGGGACTGGGATGAGGATCGGGATAGGGATAGAGATAGAGGTATGGGATAGGGATCTGAATTTAGGGACTGAATATTGGGAAAGGGATTTGAATACCGGGAGAGGGATGAGTATGGTGATGTCGACAGAGAGGGATGCACATACAGGACAGAGGTAGGCTTGAAAAGGATATATGGATAGGTCCAGAGGCAGAGGGATCAGGATAGGGACAGGGACAGCAGAGGGAGGCAGCAGGAGTCCACCAGAGGCCACGCCGCCCGACCGACTTCGGACTCAGCAGCCCACGGACACCAGGGGAAGGCCACGGGAGCCCCCTGGAGGACACGTCGCCCGATGGCTTCGGGATCTGGCCGTGCACCCCGTTTCGCAGACAAGTGTGCAGCAGTTTTCACAGACTCCCACACATCGAAGAAGAAACAAAAAAACACCATATAAACTTTTGGCGCTCCGCGCCAATTTCTTGGATCCGCGCGGGGCCCCCCTGGTACAGACTTCCACACATCGAGGAAGAAAACACGTCACAAGCATGAACTGTTGGCGCTCCGCGCGGATTTCTTGGATCCGCGCTAGGGCTCTGCTCGCGGCGCCTCTGGCGCCGCCCCCGGCGCGCTCCGCGCGTCAGGGAGAGGGGTCCAGCGCGGATCCAAGAATTCCGCGCGGAGCGCCAACAGTTTTTTTTGTATGGCGTCTTCTCTTCTTCTAGTGTAGCACTTTTGCAGACTTCCACACAAGTTGCTGACGGAAACATTTACTCTCCAGTCTCAGGGGCTCGAGGAGAAGGATCGGCACAGAGGAGGAAGGCGGGAGGAACGATCAGGGATCGGGGAATCGGGCGGGGCTGGGACGAGGATGACTCCGGTCCGGAGCGCTTCTGGGACGCTCTCAGAGTGTTCCGGAACGCTCTGAGAAGGCCGTGGCCCCCGATGCATCCTCCGGAGCCGCGGGAACACAGAGATTCACGATTTTCAGGAGGGACAAAAACACACAGACACAATTAATCGTCGATCCCCAAGAAAATAAGGGAAAATATGGGAAGTGGGGGGAAAGACAGAAACCCAGAAAATATGGGAAAATATGGGGCATATTTTTATTTGTGTGTATTTATTTGTGTGTCCTGGGGCCCCTTCAGATTTATCCTCACCCGATGTTTTATCTTCGTCCTGGCTTCTTCTTAGGGAAGAGACCGGAGGATTCAGGAAGAAGAACCGAGGGAAATCTGGTTGACCCAACAAGGGTCCAGCTGACAGGAGATGATGCAATGGACCTTGTGCAATAGAATTGTGGGGCTGCAATAGATTTGGGGCGTGCAATACATTCCGGTGCGCAGGTGTATTGCTGGGTTCTGGCTTGCAATACATGAGTTGCAGCATAAATGCAACACGGATCTTTGGCGCAGCACATTTGCAATATGCTTGCCCCACATATATTGCACCACCCCTTTTCAGCTGAACCACCTCTTGGATCAACCAAAGGAAAGAGAAGGAGGAGGAGGAGGCGGAGGCGGAGGAGGGGGAGGGGAAGGGGGAGAAGGAGGAGGAGGAGGCTGAGGCGGAGGAGGGGGAGGGGAACGGGGAGGAGAAGGAGGAGGAGGAGGAGGAGAAGGAGGAGGAGGAGGAGGAGGAGGAGGAGGAGGAGGAGGGGGGAGGGGTCGATCGTTGACGGGCAGCACCTCTGCTCTGCGCGCGCGCGCCTCCCTCGGGGCACCGCCCTGCGAGCACGCGCTCGCGGACCGCTCGATCCCACGATGGCCTCGCTCGGCGGCGAGCCCCGGGGGGGGAGTGAGAAGGGGGGGCGCCTTCTCAGAAGGCTCGTAACTCCCCCAGCCCCAGGCGATCCAGGCCTCGGAAAAAAATAGCGAGCCGTCGTGCCACATTCATCCGTCAACGCCTCCCCCTCCGCCCAATGTTCAAAGTTGGCGGTGGGTCTGATGGGTTGCACCTCGACCGCAGGCTCCCCCGCGCGTGCCAACTTTGAGTTTTGGGGGCAGGGGGGGTACTAATTGTTTCCCTCTACCGTCGCAAACATGGATCAAGCAGGCGGAGATTAGCGACGGGTCCTACTTCTATGGGAAATCGCAGGTCTCCGCCGCCGAACGAGGCGGCACCAGCCGAATCCCGGTGAGGGTACCTCCCCCGATCCACGGATTTGGCGACCGCGCCCCCAGCCTTCACCGAAGACACGGGACACTTCGCACAAGACAGGGGGTTTCTTGGAAGCACCGCCGCCTTCTGAGATGGCCTGCTCCTTCTCACTTCCCCCCCTCGCTCGCCGCCGACTCACTCCCGCTGGCACCCTGGCTCTCGGGAGGGGGGGAGGTACCGCCACCACCGGTCAGGACAAAAGAAATTGCATAGACATAGATGTTCGGCGGTCCGCGCGGAGCTTCGAAAGGTCGTGGTCATGTGTTCCTCGAGCCAGGCAGCCTTTGCATGGCCAAGATGGTCCATGGATCTTGGAGGACCATGTGGGACCTGGTGCAGAACAGAAACATACCGTAGACGGATCTACCCTTTCTCCAACCCTGTATTGCGTCGAACGCAGCGGCCGCGTTGTCTGCATACGCATGCACCCCGAATGCGTCCGTAGACGCATCAACCCCCAAGGTGCCCACAGAAGCTTATGGCCAGAAAGCGAGAACGATACAGTCCAGCCCCGATTAGTAGGCCGACCCTGCCAAATCAAGTGTATGCCCATGTGTCCTGCGTCTCGCGACCCGTGCCACCCACATTCCTGTGGCAACGCGGCCCTCGGAAGTCGGACGGGTTTTGTGTTCTCTTGCGTGTTTTCTCCGATCCCAGTCATGCGACGTCCTGATTTTTTCAATACGGGGTCCCTGGAAGTCCCCATCCTTGTCCCGGGAACGGTTTTTCATCCTGAGGAATTTGTTGATTGTCCCGAGGCCACTGCGAGGGCCTCCCGATGCCGAGAATCGTCAAACATTTCCCGTCTTGAATTTTTTGCTACTGCGCGATACTGCCTGGGATCAAGTCCGACCGCACTTGGCACAGGCCCGAGATGATGGGCCTGTTTTCCACCACCACCATAAGTCGGGGGGTGAGGAGGAGGACGACGACGACGAAGACGGGGAGGAGAAGGAGGAGGAGGAGGAGGAGGAGGAGGAGGAGGAGGAGGAGGACCCCCTCCCCCTCCAACTCATGGTGGTGGTGGTGGAGAACGAGCCCAGGCACGAGCCATTGGCCTTCCGGCACGGGCCCCCGGCCTCGGCGGGCTGCTTCCCCACGCAGCCCGGGCCACCGCCCAACACCTGCAGACCCCCTCCTCCTCCCCCTCCTCCTCCTCCTCCCCCTCCCCCTCCTCCTCCTCTCCTCCTCCTCCTCCTCCTCCTCCTTCTCTCCTCCCTCTCCTCCTCCTCCTCCTCCTCCTCCTCCTCCTCCTCCTCCTCCTCCTCCTCCTCCTCCTCCTCCTCCTCCTCCTCCTCCCCCCCATCATCCCCCCAGCCCCACGCGGCCCCGCCCTCGGGTCTGGACGCCCGAAATGGGTACGGAAAGAATGGGTACTATGCCCAACAGCGGATCCTGTTCATTCTGAACAGGCCTCGCTGTCCGCGCCGCCGCGGCCTGTGTCCCTTCGAGACAGGAGGCCGCCCGCCCAACCGCGGCCGCTGTTGGCTTTGGGACAACATTTGCTGTTGGGCACAGTACCCATTTTTTCGGTACCCATTTCGGGCGTCCAAATCGGGCGCCAGCCCCACGAGCACGCGTCCCTCCTCCTCCTCCTCCTCCCTCCTCCTCCTCCTCCTCCTCCCTCCTCCCCTCCCCCCTCCTCCTCCTCCTCCTCCTCATCCTCCTCCTCCTCCTCCTCCTCCTCCTCCTCCTCCTCCTCCCCCTCCTCCTCCCCCCTCGCCCCCCCGTCCTGGGCCACCCCCCCTCGCGGCCCCGCCCTCGGGCGCCAGCGCCACGCCAGGCCGGGCGGCCGCGCGCCCGAGCGCTCACCGAGCGCGCTCCACTGCCTCGCAGAGTGCCTATTATTCGCAGTCCTCCTATGTGTCGGGAGGAGGACAAACACACACACACACACAAGCACAATCAATCGTCGATTCCGAAGACAATATGGGAAAATATGGGAAGTGGGGGGACGACAAGAGCCAGACAATATGAGAAAATCTGGGAAAATATTGGAAGTGGGGGGACGACAAGGAGATATGGGAAAATATGGGAAGTGGGGGGATGACAAGAGCCCAGACAATATGAGAAAATATTGGGAGGAGGAAACACACACACACATGCACAATTCATCGTCGATTCCGAAGAAAATATGGGAAACTATGGGAAGTGGGGGGATGACAAGAGCCCAGACAATATGAGAACATCTGGGGAATCCTCTTATTGGTGTGTATTTCTCGCGGCGGATCCAGGCCATTTGCGAGCAGCTGGTCACTCTGCGAGCAGTGGAGCGCGCTTGCCCAGGCGTGGCCAGGAGGCCCGCCCCGACAGAGAGCCAGCGCCTGCGAAGCGCCTGGTGTGCAGAGGGCCTGCCCCCCCCCCTGCTTCGACCAGGCGCAAGCGTGACCTTTCGCGGGAGCGACCTTTGGCGCGGGCCCGAAGAGGGGCCCCCCGATCGTTTATTGCGAAGCGGCGGTGGCAGCAGCTTGCGCGCCCTGGTTTGGCCACCCCGCGTCCCCCGTTCAGCCGCGCACCAGAGGTCATTCTTGCCTAGTGCCTAGGGTCACTCTTGCGTGTGGCCGGCTGCTGCTCCAGAGAGACGAAGGTGCCGAGGCCGCTACCCTTGCTTCGTTTTAGCTCTCTTGGGCCTCCTGGGAGGCCCTCGACACCACGTGGATTCGCCTCGAGAGTCTGGTCAGAACGTACCCCAGGAGAGGTCTGGGGAGTAGCGGTCTCGGAGGTGGAAGATTCAAGAATAGCCAAAAACCGCCTGGGGGCGATTGCTTGGAGCATCTTTGATAATGTTTGAACATGTTTCTGACTATTTGTCATCATTCGTCACAAATCCGCCTGTAGGAGGACATGCCCGACCTAACTTTTGCCTTCCCCCTCCTCCTTCTTCTCCTCCCGCCCCCTCCTTTGCCCCCTCCTCTGCCTCCTCCCCCTCCTCCCCCTTCTTCCTGCACCCCCTCATCCCCCTTCTCCTCCTCCTCATCATCATCCCCCTTCTCCTCCTCCTCCTCCTCCTCCTCCTCCTCCTCCTCCTCCTCCTCCTCCTCCTCCTCCTCCTCCTCCTCCTCCTCCTCCTCCTCCCCCCTCTCCCCCCCCCTCCCCTCCTCCTCCCTCCTCCTCCTCCTCCCCCCCCCTCCCCTCCTCCTCCTCCTCCTCCTCCTCCTCCTCCTCCTCCTCCTCTCCTCCTCCTCCTCCTCCTCCTCCTCCTCATCCTCCTCTTTCTCGTCGTTGCCAGCGACGTCGGAGGCATGGCCTGCGGGCGCGCGCTCGCGCGCGAGCGCGGCCGCACCGGCGGAGCCGAGGCGGAGGCCGTGCCGAGGCACGCCGTCGCGCCTCGAGCGGCCGCTCCCGCGGGCCTGCGGAGGGCCCTCTTCGCGACCCGCGGGCACGCACGGAACGCGCAGGGGGCGCGCGGTCCTGCGCGTGGGCGCGAGCGAGGAGGAGGAGGAGGAGGAGGAGGAGGAGGGAGGAGGAGGAGGAGAGGAGGAGGAGGAGGAGGAGGAGGAGGAGGAGGAGGAGGAGGAGGAGGAGAGGAGAGGAGGAGGAGGAAAGGAGGAGAAAGGGAGGAGGAGGAGGGGGAGGAGGAAAGGAGGGGGAGACGGAGGAGAGGAGGAGGAGGAGGAGGAGGAGGAGGAGGAGGAGGAGGAGGAGGAGGAGGAGGAGGAGAGGAGGAAGGGGAGAGGAGGAGGAGAGGAGGAGGAGGAGGAGGAGAGGAGGAGATGAGGAGGAGGAGGAGAGGGAGGAGGAGGAGGAGGGAGGAGGAGGAGGAGGAGGAGGAGGAGGAGGAGGAGGAGGAGGAGGCGGAGGAGGGGTACTTGCCACCACCACTGGAGCTTCGAGGCTCGAGGTTCGAGACTCGAGGCTCGAGGTCCTCGGACGTGTGCGTCGGTGCTCGGCGGTTTGTCAGCCGCGGGGTGCCTGCCAGCAGCTGCGCCTCGCCGAGGGAGCTCTGGAGGTGCCAGGATCGTCCTGCGCTCAGTCTTGCGCGCGCGTTCGGGGTCCTTCCTGCTTTTGCGGTGTCCTCTCCGCCGCCTCCCCCCTCCCCTCCTCCTGCGCTTGCTCCGCCCCTCCTCCCTGCTCTCCTCGTCGCCTCCTCCCCTGCCTCGTCCTCCCTCCCTCCCCACCTTGTCCGTGATCTCTACTCCCTCACGCACCCCTCCACCAATTCCTCTCGCCCCTCGACAAGCACGGCGCGCGAGGACGTGGAAGGAGGGTGGGAGGCGCCCCCCCTCGTCATCGTCGTCGTCCTCGGCCTAATCATACTTCTAATTACTCCTGGGGCGCGCGCTCGCGTCCGCGTGCCGCTGCCCGGACCCAGGAGAGCCTGCACACCACGCAGAACTCCCTCAGCGACTGCTTCAACGAGGTGCCCTCGAGCGCGGGAGGGCGCTCCGTGCTCGCAGGGGCAGGGGGAGGAGGAGGAGGAGGAGGAGGAGGAGGAGGAGGAGGAGGAGGAGGCGGATGAGGAGGAGGAGGAGGAGGAGGTGGAGGCGGAGGCGGAGGAGGCGGAGGAGGAGGAGGAGGGGGATCGTCGTCGTCCCCGTCGTCATCCACGTCGCCGAGTGTGATGCGCAATCGCCACCATGACCTGGTGCTGCCCCGAAGGCGAGGAGTCCGTAGGAGGGTGGTGCAGCAGAGGCGCAGCCCCGCGGAGGCCTTCCCACGGCATGCCCCGACGTCGCGCAAATGTGGGCGAAGAGGGCTGCACCGTGAGAATCACGGAGCATGTGAAGGACGGGGGTATTGTCGAGGGTGTCCGCGATTGGTCGGGGGTGGACAGAACCCCCAACAGTGACACGTCGATTAGTGAATGGTCCGTTTTCGGTTCTCGAGATGGCGCCGTGGCCGTTCTTTTCCAGGCCTGCGCCCGCCGGGTTTGGGCCTCAGGTCGTTTTCACTAAACCACGTTTTACTAAAGGGGGGTCTGTCCATCCCCGAATTGGCTTGGTTTGGCTGCGTCGCTGTCGGTTGCATTCGCTGGGTCCGGTCCGGCCGAGTGTCGTGTCATTGCCGCGTCGCCGCGCCCTTCTGGACTATGGGGCTTGTTGGTTTCGGTCGGGCTCGGTTTCGCTTTCGGTTCGGCCAGTCTTCGGCCGTGCTGTCGCAGTGGGAGAGCGGAGGGGGTGGACTGGGAAGGGGTGAGGAGAGGAGGAGGAGGAGGAGGAGGAGGAGGAGGAGGAGGAGGGGAGGAGGAGGAGGAGGAGGAGGAAGGAGGAGGAGGAGGAGGAGGAGGAGGAGGAGGGGAGGAGGAGGAGGCCGAGGGGGAGGCGGAGGAGGCGGAGGAGGAGGAGGAGGGGGAGGAGGAAGCGAGAGGAGGGTCAGAGGAGAGCGGGGGGGGGGTGGGGAGGGCACCGTAGGAGAGCGGATGGGGCAGAAGTGAGCGGGATCGGGGGGAAGGAAGTGGAGGCGAGGAGGGGCTGGGGGGCCGAGGCGGGGAGGCGAGGGGAGGCGGGGGGGGTGCGGGGTGAGCCTCGAGGAGCAGGCGGAGCGAAGGAACACGCAGCGAGACGGAGCGGAGGCAGGAGGCATCGAGAACAAGAGAACCCTCAACCCTGATGGCATGAAGTCGGGTCTGTCCCTCCACGGGAAGACAGTTCGAACATAGTCGAACAAGAGTTTGGGGGACGATGCTTCGATCATTTCGTTGTACCACTCTTGAGCATTTCTCGAGTTCTTTTTTTCGGCCAGAATCCGCCTGTAGGGGGACATGCCCGATCTACCCTAGTAACACGATGAAGACGTGATCTCACTTAGGTCCCCGTCTCCACATCGGGGAACAGCAAGAACATTCTGGGCGGTCTGGTCTGACACGTCTGCAGACAAAAAACAAGACCCCCTGTCCCTCATGGTTCTGGCCCTCCTGGTCTTTCGGTCCCCTCCCAAAAAGGGTTAGGGCCCCCTCCATTGCTGGCGAGATGGCCGACCGGTTGGAGGCCCCTCCAAGAGAGCCTTGGTCGCCCCTCCGGGCTAGGCAGTCGACGCGGGCAAGAGACCCACGCGCTTCCCCTCGCTCTGTCGTCCTTGTGGTGGGTCTGACCGTGAGCTCGGAGGGGCGGCTCAAGTTCACTTCGTTGGTGGGGGATGCGGGCCATGGATGAGGGGCCGGCTAAGCCATCGGGAAGATCGAAATGGGTACGGAAAGAACGGGTACAACGACCGACAGAAATTCTTGTTCATTTTGAGCAGGACTCGTTGTGGGTGTCGCCGCGGACGCTGTCCACTTGAGACAGAAGGCCGCCTAACGGCCGCTGTCGATTTTGGACAGCATTTGTTGTTGGGTATTGTACGTACCCATTTTTTCCCGTGACATTTTCGGGCGTTCCAAACCCGTGCTCCTGCGGGAACGCCCTCTCGGTGTTCTGCTGGCGGGGACAGGTTGGCGGTTCTGGCGGTGGGGCTATGTCTTCGGACTCTGTCCAGCCGTCCCAGGGCCGTTGGAGGCGCAGTTTGGGGCACGGGCATGGGGGTTCACGGCCACGCACCTGGCCCGGGCGAGTCGGCTTGGTCTCCCCGCGTTGCGGTGCTTGTGTCGTCGGGCGGTGGTCGAGGCCCTCGGTCTACCCACGGTCTTGGGCATGAGGGCCGCCTCGCATCTGCTCGCGCGAGCTCGGCGGCGCGAGCGGCAGAGGCTGCCTGGCGAGGCCCGCCGCCCGACTGAGCCCTGTGGTAGTGCTGTTGGTGCTGCTGCTTCCTGTTGGACACAGCGCGTGGTTCGGCATGCCAGCCGCCGCATCGGGCGTTGCCGTCGGCGCTCGCTCGGGGTGGTCGCTGGCACGGGTCGGCTCCGCCTCCTGCTGCGGCACCTCCGGTGAGTCCCGTGGCTGCCCGTCGAGTCGGTGCGGGCCCCTATCCGTGCCAGGGGAGGGGCGCAGGTGCCGTCGCGTTCCATCTCTGCGCACGCTGCTGGCCTCCCGGCCAGCGGCACGGCCCCTCCCCAATGGCGCCGCCCCTTCCAGGGGCTGAGCGAGCGCACAGCTCTGCCTGAGTGACGCGGACGCGGGCCTGGT